TACATGTCTAATTATTATTATCATTATTATCATTATTATTATTGTAATTATTGTTAAGCCAAACATGCAGCATTGTTTTTTGACAGTTTGAAATTGTTTCGCTTTCATCAACAATATTCCTGATTGCAAAGAGTTACTATAATCAACTTCTGAGAAAACTGAGCGATTTGCTATTAAAGCAGTATACTTAGTATTGACTAGGTGACCCATTTTAACAGATCTTTTAAAAATGTCTAAATAAATGCAGCTGCTCAGATTATTTACCTCGGCCGACATTGACAAACTGGACTCGAAATAGATATCAAGATTCATAACTTTTCTTGAAAATGCTATTCCCGCGGCACTAATGTTTGTGTGATCATTGTCAACATTATTACTACGGGACCTCCGAGTTTAACGTCCATCTCGGACAGGACTGAGCCAAGGGGGAAATTTGTATAAAGTGCCTTTCCCAAGGATAAGAAGTAGGATCGAGATGAGGCTGAAACCCCCAAACCCACAATCTCACGATTACGGGTCCGATTTTAGGCACTGTGAAGGGAGGACAAAGGAGAGCCAGGCAGAAGAAGAGATGCGAGGATTACATCCGAGAATGGACAGCCATATATGGAGCTGTCGGATACACCGAGGAAAGCAGAGAGCTGAAAGGAGTAGATAAGGTAAATTTTGTTGTTATCTGTAAGAGGCGACCCATCCGATGGCAAATCTATGGGAGCAGAAGAGAGCCTAATATGAGGTGCCCATTGGCATGATCGTTTTGTTCGGTTCGGTTTGGTAGGCACGGCTAATTAGATTGAGGGGGGAGGGGGGGGGGCAAAGAGACCATCGTGGCACAAACTGATCGCCCGACTCGCAGCCTAAAAAACTAACACGATTGCTCTCAGGCCGCGAATCGAGTGGTCGATCAATAGGTGATCAATTTGTTGATCCCCCAATGCGCACTGGCCATAAGCACTAGACCACCGAGACTCCATGACTTCTGTGTTAATTCCCGGTGAATGTGTTAAATTCATAAAATGTATGTATTAGTATTATCATCATCATCATCACTATGATAAGTAGTAGTAGTAGTAGTAGTAGTAGTAGTAGTAGTAGTAGTAGTAGTAGTAGTATTGTTGTCATTGTCATTACTATTATTGTCATTATTATTATCATTTTTATTACTATTATTATTATCATTATTATTATTATTATTATTATTATTATTATTACTATTGTTATTATTATTGTCATTATTATATTACTATTGCTATTTTCCTCACTTTGGTCATGATGTTCTTGTCGTAGTAGTACCTGAGCGCGCGGCTCAGCTTGTCGTAGTTCATGTTGGGCTTGGACTTGCGCTCCCCCCACCTCCGCGCCACCTCGTCCGGGTCCACCAGCTTGAACTCCCCCTGGCCGCCCTCCCACGTGATGCAGGAGACGTTGCGGGTGTCCGAGAGTAGTTCCAGGAGGAACTGCCACAGCTGGATCTGTCCCGAACCTGGGGGAGGG